AGGGTGAAGTCTCTCTCAGGGAGGAGTGATAGGGAATGGCAAGGGACACACTGACAAAGGAGATTAATCAGAAATGGCTTTGACAAGCACTGTGGGAATTGGACAATTAAAACAGACATTGTGGGGGGAAAGAAGAACGAACTGGGGATGAGGGTGGAGAAAACAGTGTAACAATGAATGAATGAAAACCCAAAATCTCTGTAAAGGTTCATTAAAACTAATAAAATTTAATAATTAAAAAAAAGTGCTGAAAAGTTTTTTTAAACTAAATTTACTGTGTTTTAGGTAAAAGTTTTGAAATAGATGTATTTTTTTTAAATGAAGAAAAAGGACAATGAAAAAAATACAACTTGTTGGTAATGGATAAAAAAAATCATGAAGGTCAAATCAAATCCACAGGAATCAAAATTTTACTTTGAGTCTGTCCCGCCTGAATTTAAAAACCAACTCAGGAACTGGTTTGAAGACTTGAATATTAATGAACGAAGTCCCCACAAGCTGTGGGAGGATATCAAGAATAACATCCACAAAGAATGCAAACGATCATATCAAAGACAGAAGAAGAAAAAAGACTAAAATGGATATCAGAGGAGACTCTGAATATTGCACTGGCGTGCTGAGAAGTCAAAGCAAAGGGAAGAAATCAAGAAATTAAGGAGCTGAATAGAAGATTTCAAAGGGCAGCTCAGGAAGACACAGCAAAGTATTTAATGAAATGTGCAAAGAACTGGAGTCTTAAAATCAAAAGGGCTGAACTCTCTCAGCGTTTCTTAAGCTGAAGGAACTAACAAAATTCAAGCCTCAAGTTGCAATACTTAAGGATGCAATGGGCAGAATATTTAATGATGCAGGAATCATTAAAAGAAGATGGAAGGATATACAGAGTCACTGTACCAAAAAGAAATGGCTGACAGAGAAGGATTTCAAGAAACAACAGACGATCAAAAGGCAACAATGATGAATGAATAAGTTCAGCCAGAAGGACTTGGAAAAAAATAAAGCCCCAGGAATTGATGGAATATCAAGTGACATATTTCAACAAACAAATGCTGCCCTGGACACGCTCACGAGGTTGTGCCAAGAAATCTGGAGGACAACCACTTGGCCAAATGACAGGAAGAGGTCCATATTTATTCTGATTCCAAAAAGAGGTGACTCGACAGAGTGTGGAAATTATCTAACAATATCACTAATATCATATACAAACAAAATCCCGAAGATCATCCAAAAACAAATGGAAAAGTACATCAACAGAGAACCACCAGATATACAAGCTGGGTTTAGTCATGGCACTAGAGACATTATCGCCAATGTCACGTGGATCTTGGTTGAAGGCAAAGAGTACCAGAGTAATGTCTATCTGTGTTTCATTGATTATGCAAAGGCATTTGGCTGTGTGGATCACAGAAAATTGTGGTTAACCTTATGGAAAATGGGAATCCCAGTACACTTGATTGTGCTAATGCAAAACCTATACTTGGACCAGGAAGCAATTCTCAGAACAGAGCAGGGAAACAACATATGGTTCAAAATCAGGAAGGGTGTGTGTCAGGGATGTGTCCTGTCTCTATATGTTTTCAATGTATATGTGGAACAGATCATTCAGGAGGCCAGGCTTTATGAGAAGGAATATGGCATTAGGGTTTTGGAAGGCTTATCAATAACCTACATTATTCAGATGACACAAATTGATTGCTGAAACTGAGGAGGACCTGAATTACTTGCTGCAAAAGGTTAAGGACTGTAGCTTTCAATAGGGATTGAAGCTTTACATCAAGAAAACAAAGATTCTCACCACTGGGCCAACTGGTAGCACCATGATGGATGGAGAAGAGATTGAGGTTGTTAACAGTTACAGCTTGTTCGGCTCTACAATCAACACTCTTGGCACCAGAAGCCAGGAAATCAAAAGATTAATTACATTCAGTAAATCTGTTCTCAGGGACCTCTCCAGAGTACTGAAATGTGACAATGTCAGCCTAGAGACTAAGGTACACCTAATCCACGCCATGGTCTTTGGAATTATTTGCTATGCATCAGAGAGCTCGACAATGACAGAAGAAAAATTGATGCCTTTGAGTTGTGGTACTGGAGAAGAGTTTTGAACATACGAGAGGGTGAAACCAAGTTTCTCCTTGGAGGTTAGGATACTGAAGCTCCATCTCATGTATTTTGGGGCATGTGGCCAGGAGGGACCGATTCTTGGAGAAGAACATCATGCCTAGAAGGGTGGAGGGAAAGAGCAGGGGTGGAAGACCCCGGATGAGATGTATTGATATAGTTACTAGGGAAAGAGGGGTAGGTGTGTCAAGAGTCAGTGAGACTTGCTCAGGACAAGGCAGGCTTCAGAGCTGTTGTACATACGGTTGCTATGAGTCACAGGTGACTCAGTGGCACATAAAACTACCACCACCAGCATCACACACTCTTATGTTTGTGCAATAAATTAATTTTTTTTTTTTAAAAAAGTACTTCTCTAAAAGCCAAAAGGGAGCCCTCGTGACACAGTGGGTTAAGCATGGAACTGCTAATGGAAAGATCTGTTCCTCAGGAAGAAATGAGACAGTTTACCTCTGCAAAGCTTTATAGACCAAGAAACCCTAATCTTTAAGATTCTAATTCTAATCTTTAAGATCACAAATGGCTACATGGAAGTGGGTAAAGACAAAACTGTGTACTTAACTTCAAGTCTCGGCTCTTTAGTCTTATTCTCTTCAGGCAGTGTTCTTGCTTCCTTCTCCTTTTGAAAGCGAGTCTGTAAATGTTTGATTTCTTGATCATAGTCTTGCCATTCTGGGACAATACGCATAGCTGCTTCTAGTTTAGGCTCTTTAGTCATTGGATTATTACACTGTGAAAACAAGAAAACATATCTGAGTTGAATTTAAGAAAAAGTACATTATATAGAATAAAATAAGGAGTGTTGTGCATTGTCAGAAGCAATATGGAAATGGGTTAAAAAGCCTTATTTACTTCTGTTACACAGCAGTTCTGGGATGCTAAAAGGCAGGAAAATGAATAGTCTATCTGGAAAAAGTACATAGCCAAGAGATGGTTTGGAAGTCAAACAGTAAATTCAGAGGTTGCAGTGGTGAGAATGGTCATACTAGGTAACTGAAGATTTGACTTCTAATCATCTGGTACAAGTAGAATAGAGAACTGCTGAAGCTACTAAGATGTTCCAAAACTCTTCAACTATAAAACCACAAAGAAAGGCATCACACTGGAGCAGTATGCCAGTGAGAACCACAAACAGCTTACCAAATCAATTGTCTTTGCCCTTTTCTTAGAGGCATCATCACACCAAGTCTCACACCAGAGCCATTCTTGAGGGAGTGATTTAATTGGTACCTGATGAATCATGTTATTGGGCAAATCCTGTTGGTTAAAGAAAATAAAATAAAGAATTATTAAGTTCTCAGGATATTTAAATACATGTATAGTAAATCAGTGGTGTTAGGACTAGATAGAACATACCAACAAGCAGAGGTTTTAGAAATGAGAGGATGCTTATAAAAAGCCTTATGAAAGATTTTCCTCACAGTGTTTTAAAATATCTGTAGATTTTGAAGATCCATGAAAGTTAAGCATAATACATATTTTAAAAAAAAACAAACCCACAAAACAAAAAAAAAACTTAAGCTTAAAATTCCTAAGTAGCCTGCTCCTAAACTTTCTTGTATGAGGTTAACTGTTTGTTCCCCTTCGCTTTCAGTACTTAAGTTATTAGTATAAACTTAGAAGTGACAAAGATCCAGGATAAGATCAAATAGAGACCTTAAAATTCAACAATATTACTAAAAAGTGCAATATTAGTAAAGTGACTTAATAAAGTTGGAAAATAGACTAAGTTAACAGAAAAACAGTTCCCAAACCACTTAAGTATCACTTAAGTATACTCGGAAAGTATCCTATTTCCTTTATTGTAACTCAGAACATTCTGGAAGATAAGCAAACATATGAAGGCAATTCTAAGGAAAGAGTCTTCATCTTTTGAAAGTGGACTTAATATGGAGCGGTGGTCTTTTCTGTTTTGTCTAAGGGGAGCCCTTGGAGTATACCCTATCTATAGTGCTTCTTCCAAAGAAATGAAGTCCATATGTTTTCTAGACAAATCTACTTTATGTTTTGAAGTATCGTCCTAATATATTTTTTTAAGTTTGTCACAAAATAATGACTCTAACAAATGAGCCCTCAGCTACTTGTATAAATTATCTAGTCCACAACCTTCTCTATGTTGAAAGAAGGTGAATAACTGAAATTATTCTCTTCATCAAAACTTTTTAACAAACTTGAAAAGTAGTTGGATAAGGTATCAAACACTGGGTTCAATGTATTTCAATTCTACAAAGTACTGAACGTGCAGCACTCAAGTAGAAATCAGAAACAACAGTATCTGTTCCAACTGTATACTTAGCTGTAATAAATAGAATTCTACTAGAAGTTAAGCAGATGAGACAAAAGCAAAACTAGTAAAGCTTAATAATAAAGAAAAACAAAGTCACTGAGGTGCTCAAAAGACAACAAAGAATTATTAAGTCATAAAACAACAAAAGTTAAGACAGGTAAAATTGTAATCTAGGGCTTCCTTTTGCCTAGAGGTCATATGCTGCTATGACTTTTTTGAGGCTTTAAAAAGCTGCCAGGTGACAAAAATTGGTATTGAAGTCCTGTGGTACGTAGGAAAAGTTCTGATGAACACCTTTGCTTTGAGTTAGTACACCACAGGAACATGTTATGAGTAAGGCCTCCAAAGGACTTCATTCCAACTTACAAACATCAAAAGCTTAAAGTGCAATAAAAGTAATCCTAAAGGTCCAGGGTCTTTATGTTCTTAAAATAATTTTATACTTTTAAAATACAGCATTATTCCACATCTCTATATCCACAAACAATTACACAAATTTACACCTTAATGCCTGATGTATATAAAAAATATACAGGTATGTGAGAAAAAGCAAAACAAAAAGAGCAGAGATAACCTCATCAGACCATAGTCTGATGGATCTGATAAATCAGAGACACCAGGTTTTGTTAAATTAAAATATATCAATAGCACACGTTATAAATTTGTACACATGTCATAAAATAGGCTTAAAACAACTGACAAAAACAAAATATATTGCATAATACAGAAAACAAATTCATCTGTACTTCTCACGGTAACTAATAAAGACAGGCAAAAGATACATGTTACTGAACTTGATCAAATGAATACACAAAACCTCACATTTGCAGAGTACATAATATATGAAATGTTGACCAAAACTGGTCATATCTGATCATAATGCAAGTCTCTAACAGTTTTAATTGCCTGAAATCACAGTGTTCTTGACAACTGAGCTACAAAT